CTGGCAGGCAAACTGTCAGGTCGGGCCGCAGAAGCCTTTCGGGCTGTACCCAGGGAGGACAGCAAAGATTATGCCCGGGTAAAACAGGCTATACTGGAAAGATACGCCATTACCCCGGAGGCATAACGGCGCAAGTTTCGAGGGCTGCGCAAACCAGAGAAAGATTCCCACGCAGAGTGGGCCCACAATCTGGACCAAGCATCCCATGGGTGGATACAAGCCAGTCAAGCAACCACCATGGAGGAGTTACGGCAATTGCTGCTGTTGGAACAATTTTTCAATGGCCTGTCCCCAGAGGCACAGGAATGGGTGAGAGATAGAAAACCCCTCACCCTAACAGAAGCTGCATGACTAGCCGACCAACACTATGACGCCAGGGGGCATCACGGTAACCTCAACCGAGGGTACCCTCGACCCACCGCTCAACCTCATACAGCTACCCCTATGGCACCTACAGCACCCCCATTCCGGCCAACCCTGGAAGGGGGGCACACTCCACCATCCAGATATAATGGCAGAGCGAATATCCAGTGCCATACGTGCAAACACTGGGGCCACATGGCGAGAGAGTGTACCCAGAACCGGAGCCGCCAAGCATGGAGCCAAGTACGGCCGAACCCAGCACCAAGAGCAGCCGCCCACCACTACCAAGCGGAGCCAGCAACCCAGGAGATACTCTTTAATCAGACAGAAGAGCCCCTGGGGATACTACACGATGTGATGTCGGTACAAGCCACAGACAACAGGCAACACCATCGTCAGCTAGTAACCCTGGAAGGGAAAGAGGTCCAAGGGCTCCGGGATTCGGGTGTTTCATTTGGTTCCAGGCTCAGCATACACCGACGGATCCGTATCAGTGCGAGTAGCAGGGGGAGCGGTATACAGATTACCCACCGCAAAAGTGCATTTGAATTGGAGTGTTGGGGAGGGAATGGTAGAGGTGGGCCTGATGCAGAAACTGCCGGCGGATGTCGTCTTGGGGAACGACCTGGGTCGAATGACTTCCACCTTTATACCTCAAGCTCCACTCCAAGAGGCCCACCCAGTAACCACAAAGCAACAAGCTTGCATCACGGCTCCATCAACGCACTCTGTAGCGGAGACCTGGTATTCCACAAGTTATCTCCGCTTAAGATCCCAGTGAGGCTCAGGAACAAGTATTATAAATCCATAAGGCAAGGTTTCCAGCAGGCAAAATAATCCAACAATATCCCAACAGCAATCCCAATAACTGGACGACACACAGCATCAGGAGCAGAACTGAAAACCTTTATTTCACGGTGGCCTTATAAAGCATGCTCCCATGCAAGGGAGGGATTTTCATTAATTACTACAGTACCCAATCCGGCAATAGTAACCTCCCACACATCTCCTCCCCTCAGCCTGCATCATAATCCTCTTATACTGTACACAAATTCCCCCAGTTTCTGGATGTACCCCTAAACCTAGGGGTACCCCTTTCAATGGCACATCCCCTGGTAGCCCTGATCTGGGTGAGCAACATATCCAAAAATCACCCTGATCGGACCAGGGGTTCGGGAAATTTATGGAAGTACTAAAAAGACCGACCGCGCTGGAGAGAACAGCTGAATTGGCTTCCATACGATGGGGCCCTGTGGTCAGTCCCAGCATAAGGGAATAAATTACATGAAAGGCTAAGGCTACAGAGATCAGGTAGGGTTCGCATGAATCCCCTCGTTTGGTTGTTTCTGTCTACCGAACGAGGGGCCGTTCGGTAGTTTGGAACCGAACGGACCGGGCTTGTGGAGGTCTCAGCGGTGTTCGCCTAGTCGAGTGTCCGATTTGGGTTCCAGACACTCGACGGCAAAACACCGCTGTTCGGGAGTTTTAAAATGGCCGCCACCACGTGTTCGTTTCCCGAATGGCGGCCACCCCGAGAACAAAGGACCTACTGCATAGCTTGTTAATTACCCATTTGCAACATTGTTGCAATGGGTAATTGAAGGCACACTTCACACAGGGGAGGTCTGATTGTTCAGTAGTTTCATTCCCTTAGTTTATTCGAATGATTCTACCGAACAATCAGACGAACACACTTTATTTAAACACATAAAAAAAACAGCAGTTTACCCGAATGCAGTTATACACATGTACTTTTCAGGACAGCCCAGTGCCATCCGCTACATACCCCTAAACCGAGGGGTACCCCTTTAAATGTTACATCCCCTGGTAGCCCTGATGTGGGTGAGAGACATATCCAAAAATCACCCAGATCGGACCAGGGGTTCGGGAAAGCTATGGAGGTAATAAAAAGACCGACCGCTCTGGAGGGAACAGCCGAAATTGGTTCCATGAGATGGGGCCCTGCGGTCGGTCACAAAAGAATGGAATAAATGGCACGAAAGGCTTGTGCTATAGAGACTAGGGAGGGTTCGCATGAATCCCCTTGTTCGGGTGTTTCTTTCTACCAAACGGGTGGCCGATCAGTAGTTTGGATATGAACTTAAGGGCAGTGTGGAGGTCTCAGCGGTGTTCGCCTAGCTGAGTGTCCGATTTGGGTTCCAGATACTCGATGGGAGTTTTAAAATGGCCGCCGCCACGTGTTCGTCTCCCGAATGGCGGCCACCCCGCAAACAAAGGACCCACTGCTTATATTGCCAATTACCCATTCGCAACATTGTTGCAACCGGTAATTGGAGGCACACTTCCCACTGGGGTGGTCTGATTGTTCGGTAGTTTCATTCGCATAATGCCTAGAGTGCCTTTAACCGAATACATTAAAATACATGTAGTTTTCAGGACAGCCCAATGCCATCCGCTACACATGTGTTACGGTTACCTCCAGGCTAGCTGGAAGCTGGACCGCTTGGATGGTCTGGATCCCAAAGGCAGAGAAAGAGGGGAGCCACTTCGGTAGTTATTCCATACGAAACCAGTGCTCTCGGATCAGGTTTAGGGGTCCCTGTACCTTGCGGCCACAGAGCAGCTCGAAGGGAGAGAATCCTGTCGTTTCCTGGGGCACCTCCCGATAAGCGAACAGGAGGTGGGGTAGGAAGCATTCCCAGTCTCTATATTCCTGGGTGAACATTTTGAGCATTTGTTTAAGGGTCCCGTTGAACCTGAGGGTGCTAGGGGGAGCTTAGAAGAGACTTAATCTTACAGACCTGTAAGAGTTGCTGCGTTAACTCAGCTGTAAATTGTGTACCTCGATCTGACAGGATTTCTTTGGGGAATCATACTCGCGAGAACACCTGTACTAGTGCATTGGATACGGCTTTTGGGTACCTGGTACAGTAGTCCACTACTGTAAGAATGTAGCGCTTACCGGAGGGACTAGGGTCCCACTAAGTCTATGGCCACCCTGCTAAACGGCTCCTCTACAATGGGCATATTCACCAGGTGTGCCTTAGGATGGTCGCCTCTCCTCCCTACTCGCTGACACACATCGCATGTGTTGCAATAGGTCCTAACATCAGCGTGTACCCCTGGCCAGAAAAAGGTGTGAGTAATGCGGTGTAGGGTACGGGTCATGGCCAGGTAGCCGGCTAAGGGTATGTCATGTCCTATTTTTAATATTTCTTGTTGGTATTTGTGGGGTACTACCAACTATCGTCTGTGTTGTCCCCGTTTCTCAGTTAGCCGATACAGCTTTCCCTTCTCCCATAAAAAATTTTCATTATCCAGTCCACCCCCTCCCGTCTCGGCCCGTTCTCGGTATTTTTGTAAAGTCGGGTCGGTCTTAGACTCAGTCTTGAATGTGGTGGGAGTGCCCCAGGGTATGGGACCTAACGGATCAGTCCCGATCGGGGTGAGTCTTACCTGCGTCTCCCGCACTGGTGAGGGTTCCCGCTGCATCTGTGCTTGTGCCCGAGTAGTCAAAGGATTCGCCTCTTTGTTATAGACTGGAGCATAGGCAGAAGTCATAGGACCCAAATCGTTACCCAGTCCATTATGCCTACGTTCTCGGTCCCTTTTCCCGCTCCCCAATCAAGATGTACTTTGGCGGTAGGAATTTTGTATACATCCCCCCCGCCACTCTAACTGCCACAGTCTGTCCCGATCTCTTGTGTTTTGGAACCAAATGGCTCTGGACCAGTGTAATCGTAGCGCCGGTGTGCCTTAGTCCTTCGGTAGAGTGACCCTCTAGCCATACTTTTTGCCGATGATGCTGGCGATTATCCAAAGCAGCATATACAGTGGTCCCAGGTATTCCTCCATAGGGATCTCTTGGTTAACGCAGAGGGCCTGGGCAGGGCGAGATGGCCCAGCAGAGGAGTTGTAATTCCTAGAGGTCTGATGGCAGTTTAGAGGACAGCTTGCCATGAGGTGCCCCGGCTGTTTGCATCGAAAGCACGTTGGTCAGGGCTGGTCAGTGGGGTTGTTACTGGTTGGTCCTGAGTACCGGATGGGCCCTGCGGGTACTGGAGCTCTGAATTCGGTGCGGGGCTCCGTTCGGTAACTGTCCCTATGTTCGGTCCGTGCCGTTGTTCGGTAATTTGTGGGTTCGTGCAAACGGGACTCATAATGCTCGTCGGCCAACTTGCCCGCTTCTTCTAAGGTAGCTGGTCGTCTGTCTCGCAGCCATTCCTTTCCCTGTTGCTCGATGCCATTATAAAAGTGCTCCAGCAGAAATAATTGTAATATTTCCTCAGCGGTCACGGCTTTACTCCCGTTCATGCAGTGATTCGCTGCTCTCCGAATTCGGTGCGCCCATTCCATGTGAGTGTCATTAGGTTTCTTTTTAGTGTTCCGAAATTGTCATTGATACGTGTCCAGGGTTACCGCGTACCGTCGTAGGAGTGTGTCTTTGACTAGAGTGTACTGAGTCACCTCCTCAGCACTCAAGGTCTGGAATGCCTCTAGTGCTCGCCCGGATAGTTTTCCAGACAATATCGTGGGCCACTTTTTGTCGGGAATCTGATGTAGTGCACATTGTCGTTCAAAGTCTGCCAAGTATTCATCAATCCCTGTCTCGTTCTCCAGGAAGGGTCTAAAAGCCGCATAGGGTATCTTTGGCCTCCCGGGGTTCTCTGCAGGACTTACGGTTGAGGCTGCCTCGCGTTGCGGTGCGTGGTCACCAGGCGGAGCTCGTGGTCTCTAGCTTTCTGTATGTCCTCATCTGCCTCTGCCATCAGCTGCTGTACTAGTTCTATAGAGGGGTTCAGCCCGTATAGTGAGAGCCTCTCCCGAACAATCCTGGTCTTTTCGTCACCTGTCGTTGTCGGTGCTTCCGCCATAGTAAAACTCTGATCCAGTTCGGTCAGCTCTGCGATTAGCTCCCTCCTTGGCCGGTTACTCGCGTTCCCACCTCGGCTTTCGAGTAAATCCTTTAAGGTAGTGCGTTTCAATTTGTCATAGGCGCTCTCCATCCGTTCAGGATCTCTCCTAGGAAGTCATGAACGATCCCACCGCTGCCACCAAATGTTACGGTTACCTCCATGCTAGCTGAAAGCTGGACCACTTGGATGGTCTGGATCCCAAAGGCAGAGAAAGAGGGGAGCCACTTCGGTAGTTATTCCAAACAAATCCTGTAAATGTAGAGCAATCCCACTAGCTATCATAGATCTAGGATACCCTTTTCCCCACAAAACGAGTCGAGGCTGCGATTTGAAGGTCAAGCAAGAACTGGGTTTAATGACACACAGGGGACCGTATTTATGCAAAATCTGGACACGATGGGATACAGGGGCAATACAAGTGGGGGACCAATAGAAATGCAATGTATCGTTTGAAATCGTCACCGCCCAGCTTGGAGATAATGAATCCAACGGTTATGACAATACAATTATCTCCAAGCGCCCAAAAACCCACGTGTCTTCCACCATTCATTACATAGCCCCGGTTGAGGCGAAACAATTAACCGAAGAGCGCTCAGAAACCCACGAATGGTACGCTTCATTTCCTCGAAATGTGATGGCGCCCATGTTTTGAGGTAGACTAATAGGCCGCGGGACTTCACTCTCAAACTTGTGGAACAGGAACCAGCTAGAAGTCTGCACGAATCCCCGCTCTGTCTCTGGATGTCTCCGTTGTTCGGGAGGCGAATGAAGACCGCCGGGAGGGGGTACTTAACCTGCGGTCAACCGCAGAAACCAACATTCTAATTGGAGCCACACGCCAGGCTGTAGGTGGCCCTTGTTCGATACCCGTTCGGTAGTTAGAGTATCGGGCGATGGGGCACGAACGTGAATGCCCTGCTGCCGTCAGTTAGGTTGCGGTTAACCGCAGACCGCAACTCTCTGGGCGATTAAGTGGAGACACACTCTGCTCGTAGGGTGGTCGGCCGTTCGGTTGTTCCAGGGGTGACCGGGGTTAAGGTGTTCAGCTGGGGGAGCGGCTATGCCCCAAGGAGCGTGCCCAGGTACTGGAGTTAGTTGCGGCTAAGGGAGCCACTTTCTCCAATTTACCAGGACACACCCCGCTAGCTACTCACCGAGTTGAGACCCCCGGACCGCTACCTATGCGGCAGACCCCATACCGTATCCCGGAAGCGGTCAGGGAACATATGAGGAATGAAATTGAGGAAATGTTGCAGCTAGGGGTTATTGAACATTCCGATAGCCCCTGGGCATCACCGATAGTGCTGGTACCCAAGAAGGACGGCACAACACGCTTTTGTGTAGACTACCGGAGGCTAAATGACAAAACAGTGTCTGATGCCTATCCGATGCCCCGGATAGACGAGCTGCTAGACAAAATGGCACGAGGCCAGTACCTCACTACAATAGATTTATGCAAAGGGTACTGGCAGATTCCACTAGCCGAGGATGCCATCCCCAAGTCGGCGTTTGTCACCCCGTTTTGCTTGTACCAGTTTCGCGTCATGCCATTCAGGATGAAAAACGCTCCGGCTACCTTTCAACGGATGGTGAATCGGCTACTGGACGGGTTCCAGGAGTATGCATGTGCATGCCTGGATGATATCGCCATCTATAGCCAGTGCTGGTCAGACCACCTGCGACATATTGGAGCAGTCATTGGCCGTATCGGAGAGGCAGGGTTGACGCTCAAGCCCAGCAAGTGTCACATAGGAATGGCAGAGGTGCAGTACCTGGGGCACCGGGTAGGGAGTGGACAGCAAAAGCCCGAACCAGCAAAAATTGAAGCAGTAGCTAAGTGGCCTACCCCCCGGACAAAAACCCAAGTGCTAGCCTTCCTGGGTACTGCAGGGTACTACCGAAAATTTTTACCCATTTAGAGTGCCCTGGCCAAACCCCTGACTAACTTGACCCGCTAAAACCTTCCTCGACAGGTCATCTGGGCCCCAGAGTGTGATCAGGCGTTCCAACAACTCAAGACTGCTTTAACCAATGCACCTGTTCTTGCTGCTCCTGATCCAACTTAACAATTTCTTGTCCACACAGATGCTTCAATGTTTGTATTGGGAGTAGTGCTGAGCCAAGATGGAGCAGATGGCGGAGAACATCCCGTAGCTTACCTAAGCTGAAAGTTATTGCCCCGAGAAGTAAGCTACGCCGCCATCGAGTAAGAATGCCTGGCCATGGTGTGGGCCCTCAAAAGTTGCAGCCTTATTTGCATGGACAACCTTTTTTCCTACTCACAGATCACAATCCGTTGGTGTGGCTGAACCGTGTGGCTGGGGACAATGCCAGGCTGCTGCGCTGGAGTTTGGCACTGCAGCCTTTTGACTTTACCATTCATTACCACCCAGGGAAGCAAAACGGTAACGCCGATGGGTTATCTAGACAAACTAACCTTGAGAAGTGATCTGTGAGTACTCCTCCGGACATCCCCAAGCCGATTCGTTGGGATCAGACTGTGTATGCCGGCTTGGTTCTGGGGGAGCATTGTGGCAAACCTAGCCACTTTAAGACTTATTGCATAACATCAGAAGGTTGTCTACTTTTATTGTGTATAGGAATGTATTAGTGTATGTTGAAACAAAGAATATTCATATGCTAATGGCCGAAAGTCGCTAGCATTCATATGGTAGTTTCACGAACAGTGACTTTAAACACTGTTCGTGAAAAGAATAAGGTACCGAACGGGAGCCCATATTGTTGCAATCGGTAGTTAATTGCCTTTCTAGGTGGCCGTCGTTCGGCTACCGACCACGCGGTGGTCGGCCATCTTGGATCCTTTGTTAGCCCAGCGGTGTTTGGTTGTCGAGCACCTGGAACAAAAATCGGCTACTCGACGGCGCGAACACCGCTGGACCTCCAGGCCGTTCGGGAGCCCCGGTCTTTCGGTAGTTTGGTTCCCAATAGGTATTCGGTACTCTTATGAGAATTTGATATAAAAGTATGTTTCGTGTGGCATTCGGTTATTTAGGCTAGGATCTGAGCAGTACTTTCATGAAGTGTGCGCTCAGACCCCAGCTATCTACCGAACGGTCATTTATTATACTCCCACGGATAATGTTAAAGTTATAAATTTTTATGTTAAAATCCGGTTCTGCTGTATGGAGGGATAATCCACTTAACAGGATATTCTAGTGGGAGTATCCCTCACGTACAGCAGTGCATGGTGGGAGAAATGCTCTGTATAGTCAGTTCCCCATGTAGTCCTCTACTGTAATACCCCTGTAAAGTGACTAAGGAAACCCCTTGCATGGGGAACCACATAAATACTGGAGCTGTGAATAAACTTGTCAGTTGACTCCCAGAACTATTTCGTCCGGTTACTCGGGGATTTGGGATATTGCCTTCTTTTCCAGCTCTTTACTTTGGATTACTTTCTGTACCAGCGGAGATCTTGGAATTTAATATTACAGCTCCGCTACACCGCTCTATAAGCCTCGGCTGCCCATCCGAAGAGTTTGCTGCTGAGAACCACAGCCCAATTAGTCTTTTCTAGCCCCTCCAAAGCACACTGACGCTCAAAGTCCTGTAGGTAGCTGTGTCGAAACCAACCTCGCCACGAAGCATTGGAGAAGCCTGGTTGCTCGCCTGTTGCCCTTGGACTATGGCCCCTATGTTAAAAAGCCTTCTTTTCCCCTGCAGAAAATGCTTGTTCGTGCCTTTCTGCCCGGTGTTCGGTAGATTCAATCTACCGAACAAATAACCGAATGACTGGACCACCTGTATTGGGAGTGTGTCGGCAATTGACCTCCCAGAAGCTGCGGTTAACCACAGCTTAATTGATGAATGCTGGGTGGCCTTTGTTCGTTTGCCGAACACATGGCCCCGGCCATTTTAACTGCCCAAACTATGGAAATGGAAACGGACACTTATTTGCGCGAACACAGCTGAGCCGTCAGCCTCCTGGCTCCTGCATTCGGTCATTTAACCGGATGCCTGTTCGTTCGGTAGTTTAACCGTATGAACAGCAACACCCAGATAGCCATCCCGTGGAGTCTATTCGTATGGAGAACAGACTTTGTGAACACTTTCACTCCACGGCGATTGGACTGTGTGCATAGGATCTGAGCGCTATTCGTTACTTTTGTGCGCTCAGATCCCAGCTATCTGGGGATGGGTTATGTGACAAATGTAACATTATGTATTTTATTGTATTTTAGTGTTTTATTGTAACCATGTGGTTAATGGAGTTTCGCCTCTGTCCTTACTTCCCAATTATCTCCAGGATAGAGGAGAGGGATTGTAATGTACTGTGGGAGTGTTTTAAGCCTGTATGCCTGTGATTGGTCATTTTACCATTTGTGTCCCAGTCTCCCATTTGGTCCCCTAGGGGAGTGTCCACCAGGTGGGAGACCTGCATAAATACTGGGCAGGTAGCCCTCAATAAACCAGACTACTGCTTGACTCTCAACACGGAGCTCTGTCTCGTCTTTGGGAGGATTTACTGTATGCTGTTAGAGCCAGGAGTGTAAGCCGCTTGGGTGCTTTTCCTGTTCGTCTGCTAGCAGCTATTCGTGAGGTTCCAGTTCGGGAGTTTGGAGTGCTACTTTGTATGCAGTTCGGGAGTTTGGAGCATTCCCTTGTATGCAGTTTGGGAGTTTGGAGCATTCCCTTGTATCCAGTTCGGGAGTTTGGTGTTCTGCAGTAGCTGTGCCTGTGTCTCTGGAAGGGAAGATCTACTAAACAGCGGTTTAACCCTTTTATGCCTGGGGGTGCCGTTACAGTAGCTGTCTATATATCTAGTTTCCCATCAGTAAATGCTTTGAAGGCAGCATAGTTCACCTTCTGTGGTTGCCCATTTGTACCACCTGGAGATGCTAGCAAAAAAAAAGAAACTAAACTAATTATCTCCCAGGCACAGAGGTACAATGCACAAAATATTAAACAACCCAAAACACACACAATAATACAAGGGACCACCACAAGTCCTATATCCCTGGATAGCCTGGATCTGAGTGCCCAACAAATCCAAAAAGCGTTCAGGTCACACAAACACAGCCAAATTGCCACCGGGGTAAAGTTTTGACGGACCGCACACGTGGCTTCTGCCCAAAATAGTTCATT